CTTCTGCAGCGTAGAGTCACTCAGGGATTATATGAAGGCTTAATGCGTTTAGATGCTTAGGAAGGCTGCAGGCTGGAAAAAGAGGCTTCTGGAGAGGAGGACTTGTGTTTCTTGAGTAAAGTTTGTTCTCTGCATGGAGAAAGGCCTAGTGCCCTGGAAATGGACTTTTGCCTTCATATAGATGAGGGGTGAGGGGAGAAGAGTCTGCTGAAATGTTTAAAAAAGATAACCCTGTAATCAGGTCAGGGACTTGATTGGGTGCCAAGCTAACGGGAGTGGTGCGACAATGGACATTTCTTTCCCATTATCTTGTTTTCATTTCCAGAGTATTTCATATCAAATATTAATAGGCAAAAAAATTAATATGCTGAGCCTCCCTAAAAAGGAAGGCATCTAGTGGATTTTGTGCCTCTAGCAGGTAGGAATTTCTCTATTCCACAATGCAGGTTAAACACATATTCATTTAACAAATATTCCCTGACCATCCACCATATGTTGGGTACTGTTTTAAGCACTGAGGATAGAGCAGAAAACAAAAATAGACAAAAAATCTTGCCCTCAGGGTGTGGGAGACCGACAATAATCAAGATAATAAGTATGTTAGTGAAAAGTGCTAAGGAGAAAAAGTAGAGAAGGGGGATAGGACATCAGATCTGGTAGGGGCTTTACAGTTCTAGGCAAGGTGGCCTGGAAGGCTTCTCTGAGAAGCAACATTTGAGGAAAGACCTGGAGGAAGTCTCTTCATGCTCTAAATACATTGTAGGCTCTAAACTCGTCTAACTAATCAGAGCTTCAGCTTAACTTCACCTGGGTCAGGTTTTGAGAATTCCTCCCCCTACCAAGGGTTGTAAGGGGCCTGGAAGGGTTTTCATGCTGGTCCTCCAAGGAAGTTCCAAACCCGTCATCTTGCGCCATCATGGTTGCTGCTGAGGTCTCAGGGTCCAAGCCTGTGTTTCTTTGAGGGGCCAGATGTGGGCACGGGAATCTTTTGTTATGGCTTTGGAGCAATGACTTAATTTTTGTGTCAAGGCACAGCCTGTGCTACTCTGGGAAGCCCTCCCCTGCCAAATAAATAAATTAATTAACTCCTAAATCCTTCTTCAGTCTACAGTCTCCTCATGGGTGGGGCCACTTCTGTTTTTCAAATTTAGTACATGCCTTCCTAATAGCTGAAGCTCCCAAACAAAAGCCTAGGTGGTTTTTTTCTAGGTGCCTGGCTACTTTTGTTTTTAACTTCAAAGCCTATGGTTTCGAGGGAGTGATCTCTTTGAGATGAGACTCAGAAGAAAAGTTCTCCTTCCTTTGAATCTCCTAAAGCACCAAGAACAAAATGCAAATTAATGTCTCAATAAATTACCCTGCTATGCATTTAAATAATGAATGCTTAAGTTCATTGTCAATTATTTCTATTTATCAATACACTCAGAATTGTCTGAAGAATACTTTTGTTCCCCCTTTGCCTGTTACTATTGAAATTATTTGTGTTTAAAGTTGGTAGCAGGGGAGCGGGGGGAATTCTTTTAAGAATATTGTTACCTAAACTGCTACCTCTCCCTTCCCCACCATGAGGTAGATTCACAATAGTCAGTGTATCTAAAACACCAGTAAACGTTGAAGGTAGAGTTCACAGTGATGAACAGAGAGAGCAGGAGACTAAAGCAGAGAACTGAGGCTCAAATGGAAGAAAGGTGAAAGATGGGGAAAGAAGGACAGGAAAGGAGATGGAGTACTGAGAAACATGGAGAGAACAGACTGTCACGGGCAAGAGGGACCTGTGGCATTCCCAGGACAACTAGGCATTCGTCAGGGCAATGTGCATCTGTGCCTTTTAGAGCAGGCAGTGGGATCATTTTTGGCATCTCTTGGCTAAAAATTCTGCTTCCTCAGAAATTATCTAGGATCCATTTACTTACGGAGATGGTATTATTTTCCTATTGCTGCTGTAATAGATTACCACAAACTTTGTGGTTTAAAACAACACAAATGTATTACCTTACAGTTCTGGAAGTTAGAAGTCAGCCACGGATCTCACTGGACTAAAATCAAGGTGTTGGCAGGACTGTATTCCTTTGTGATGACTCTAGGAAGAATCTATTTCCTTATCTTTTCCAGCTTCTAGATGCCACCTGCACTACATGGTCTGTGACCCCCTTTCTCCATCTTCAAAGCATCTCTCTGACCATTCTCTGCTCTTCAATTGTATCTCTCTGACCATATTTCTGTACTAGTCACATCTGCCTCTCTTCATAGCCCTGAAAAGTTTTCTGCTTTTAAGGATTCTTGTGATTAGATTGGGCCACCAGGATACTCCAGGATAATCTCCCCATGTCAAAATCCTTAACTTAATCACATCTGCAAAATTCCTCTTTCCATGAAAGGTCATAAATTCACAGGTTCTGTGGATCAGGACGTGTTCATCTTAGGGGGCCATTATTGTGCCTACCAGATAGATCAGGTAACCTTAACTGGAACCCTCTCCGTAGGCCAGAGAATGAGGTGGTTCATTACCAGGTGAGTGTATTTCCAGACTACCAGTATATACCTGTTGACTTCAAGTCAATCTCAACTCATGGAGACCCCACGTGTTACAGAGTAGAACTGCTCCATAGGATTTACTTGGCTGTAATCTTTACAGTAGACCTTTCTTGTTTGGTGCCACTGGGTGAGTTCGAATGGCCAACCTTTAGGTTAGTAGTTGAATGCAAACCATTTGCACTACACAGAGACTTTATACTTCCAGATTAGGCCATGTCAAATGTTTTTGAAGGCTTTCTGGTATTAGCCTACATACAATTTGAAATATAGAAATAGAATGTCATTTATTCTCAAAGAATTAAGACATGTATTTTGTTAAAGAAAGGCATGTATACACACACACACACACACAATTATATTCCAATATAAAACAGCAAGAAAATAAAAGTATGACCTACAAAATCGTCTATGAGGTCCACCCACTTTGGTAGCCTTGGGGCCAGGATTAAGTAGGAGTCACTAGAGTAGGGGAGTTCATTTGACTGCATGAACCAGGACCATGCTGAGGTCCATGGCGAGCACATCTCTTTTCTTCTCAACACTCTTCTGCTAAGATACTTGTAGAAACAGAACCACTACAGGTGGCTCCAGATGGCAGCTCCCATTGGCCTCTATGAGGTGCTTAAGTAGCCCCTCCTCAGATGAAGAGTCTATCCTTGTTTCTATATAACTAAGGGTCATTCTGCAGAATTCAGTCCAGCCTTCATATGCCTTCAGCTGTTTACACTCAACATACATCATGGGAACAAGAAGCTAGCCGTTTCTGGGGAAAGCTGACAAGAACTCCTCTAGGGATTTGACCCTGCCATCTGGTTCTGACTCATGCCCTGTTCTTAACGACTCCTGTACCAGCTCCCTGGGCAAGCTAGATGTGGAAGCAAATATTTCTGGGTGAAAAAGAAAAATGAGGCCTGGGAGAGAAGGAGAAAGTGAGCTTTGCAATTTGTAGGTTGCTATTCAAAAATAGGCTTAACCTTTTGTTTAGAGAAACCAGAGAAAGGAAATGCGGCTCAAATTATCCACAGACAGGGCTTGTTTATCGTGTTGTTTGCTCCAAATAGGTGAGTATACTTGTTTGTTAGATACAGAGTATTGAGTACGGGCTGGGCGCTGGAGCTCTTAGTACTGGGTTTCTTCATAGGTCTCATGGGTGAGATAATTTATATGCATAAGAAGTTGCTATTTGTGTGTAAAACATAATCAAATTCATGTAAAACCTCTGAACACTTGACTTGCAGCTATCTCATCTGGTCCTTCCAGTAACCCAGATGGCGGCGAGGGCATATATGAAAACAGAGTCATAGATTCTGTGTCTTATTCTCATCTAGCTTGGTCACAGGTTTAGTGTGAGCTTAGATTAAAACAAGCTATTTTAATTTCTAACCCAATCCTCTTTCTACTTGATTATGTTGATGAAAAAAAATTTGACTCAGTAACTCAAGAGTTAGAGCAAAGTTTTAATGACTTCAGAACTGTCAGCACTATAACATCAATTCTCACTTACAATATATATTTAGCAGCAATTGGCTGTAATTTGGTGGGGGAATAAGAAACAGAGAAAAAATGGCGTAACATGCAATATTAAATGAAAACATAACAAGATCTTGAAAAAATGCGATATTATATAGAGAACTAAGAAAGATCTTGAAAAAACAAACACGTTTGCTGCTGTACTGTTTTAGAAATAGCATACAGTTTCTACCCAATGATGAGTGTAAGGGTCAAATGAGCAAATGTGGAGACAACCTCTGAGCTTAAAATTGCCCACCATGTACAGAGCTGAACACCTGCTGATCAATCCCACCAAAAATGAGGTAAGTAAAATGAATGAAGTGACTTTTAAATTTGGAATTCTACCTCTTGCCCCAAGTGTTTCTTTTCCTTAGTCTGGCTAATCTAGATCCGTTATATTTACTAACGGTCAACACACTCTTTGGGGCTGGTTCAGGCTCAGAATGATTTTCGGAATCATTTATAAGATTTGTCCAGGTTGAAGATTGGTGGGTTTTTTGTTTGTTTTTTTTTTTTCTTTTATAAGCCAGTTGCAAAGTACACACAAAACATGTTTATCCCTGGCTTTACTTGTCAGTTTTCAGTAAATGCCAATTTCTAAGCTTTCAAAAATGCACTTTAAAATAACGTGATTTGTCTTTTTAACCTAATCATCTCTTCCTGTTTCCTAGACTATTTCTGTAGCCAGATTGAACATTGACAGAGAAAAACCCCTTGGGAAAAAAAAACTCCTCCTAAATTTTCATGTGTATTTTGCTGATGATCTTTACGACAGATATGAATATTGCATTTAGTTAAATAGATGAAAGTGGCTTCTGTTTTGGAATAATACTTTAGGTATAGTGAATGAGGTCTGGTGCTCATAAAGGGCCTGCTTAGAAAGCCTGCCCAACGCCACCATGCAAGGAGCATGAAACAACTCTTCAGGGCTTTATTCATCATAGCTGAATGTGTTTCTTAAGAATTCTACTCAAACAGAGAGTCTGCATACTGGGAAAATTATGTGGCAATCATCTTTCCCTAACCTATGTGTAAAGTACAAATGTGGAGAAGTTCACAGCATTTCATGCCCCTCAACCTCCCCCATCACCACCTGGAGACACGGCTGAACCAAGAGATACTCTGGACCGTCAGTTGGCTCAGTATAAAGAGTCTGTGCAATAACTTCGAGTTCCTTCTCTGATTAGCTGTGTTTTCTCATTTGCATTTGTAGGCTGGAGAACAACTGGAAAGTCCACATCTAAAAATAAACAAAGCAAAGCAATAAACACTCTTTTATTATGTTACATTTCTTTTAATGGGACAAGTGGTAGGTATTTTTGTTGAAATAATGAGTGGCAAATCAATTCAACGTATAAGATACTGAGGATGCCTACCCTTTTAAGAAAAAAGGGAGGAGACAATGTCTTTATTCTTCATTCAAGTTCTATCAGTTTTAAAATTATAAAACTGAATCACTGAACTCAGCTTTCACCGTGAAGGTACTTGCTGAACCTGGGGAACTTGAGCATTAGTTTTCACCACCTCGTCAGTACGGAGCCAGGGCCACCACATATAGCTGTACAGGCTATTCACTGCACAACTCCAGGGGGTACTGTTCTTGTTGTTGTCATCACCAAGTCATTTCTGACTCATAGCAATGCCATGTGACAGAGTAGAACGGCCCCATCGAGTTTTCTAGGTTATAATGTGTACAGGAGCACATCACCAGGTCTTTCTCCTGCAGAGCCACTGACTGGGTTCAAACCACCAACCTTTCCGTTGCAGCCAGTGCTTAACCATTGCACCATCAGGGCGCCTTTCATATAGACTACAGTGTTTAATCTCTGTCTCCTTATCACCTCTACTGGATTGTAAGGTCCAAGATAGCAGTAACCATGTCTTTCTTTTCTCTAGGTCCTAGAATAGTGTCAGACAAATATTAAGTACTCGATAAATGTTTACAGTTAAGAGTTAAAACTTGGGGTATTAGTTTTATTGTGCAAAGTTAGCAGTCTAGTAACTTTGCTCCCTTAATCTTGGCAGGTTTTGGCCAGTGTTCTGAGCTGGCTCACTTGTCCTGCTGCCCTGGCCCAGTGCTTTCATGGTGCTTGATTGATATTGTCATCGGAATAAAAAGAAAAGGCTTTTGCACCACTTGCGGGCATTATTTTCCATGAATTATTTTTAGAAATTGCTCCCTTTTGATGGGGGAAGGGATAAGAAAAAGACTGAGTGGGGAATTGTGAAAAGGGGAAGGACAAATTTAATCTCTTCCTTATGATCCTTCATTGGCAGTAAGATGCGATGAATGCTCAACAGCAAATATAATAAATTTCTCAATATCTTGGCCAAGAGCAAGAGTCTAATTACAAACCATATGGCCTCATCAGCTCAGTGGTTGTGAATTTATTTGGGTTTTATCCAGGTGAGTGGCAAGAGCAGTTAAGCCATCAACAGATTTTTCTTTGCACTGAATCTCACATTTTTAGATACAAGGTCAATACTATAAAATATTCTCCTTCAGATACATTATTCCCCTGTCCAAAAAAAAAGGGAAAATCAAAGATTTTTTAGGGTTTACTGAGAGCTTTGGTTGGATTTCAGTTCACTGCAATTCTGCTTGGGAGAAACAAACTGAATTTAGCTCTTGTATTTTTTTGTTTGCTTTGCCAGAGTGTTCAGAGTTAACTAGTCTTCTTTTAGGCTGTTGCCATCTACCTTGTTACACTGTCTCACACACAGAGGCCCAGGGGATGGGGTTCTACCTCAAGATGGTCTATGAAGTCCTCTTAGCAGAATTCTGATTTTCTTGTGAGTTTCAGCCAGGAAGGGAGTATAATGTCTAAATGATCTTGTTTTAAATACACCACTCAAAATTTCACATGGTGGAACTGATAATTTGTGAACATTTGAAAGTAAGGGACATAACCTGGTATCCATTACTTTTAACTTTCTAGTTTCAAATTTTCTAAGACAAAAAAATTGGGGAGGGGTTCCCTTCAAGGCACCAGTTCTCTTCTGTTTGATACTGACTGATTCATAAGAACAATGGAATTGTGAACAAAGGGATTGGGCATAAATTTTTATTCTGAGACAGAGATAGGAATCCATTTACAATAAACTGCTTAGTAATTATCAGTTTTATTTTGGAGAGAAGATTGCATTATATTAGTTTTACTGTACTTTTTATCTTGGCATTTCTGGATAGAAGATTCTGGATTCTGTAGAAGAGAGAAATGCTAACCACACTTCTTTTAAATCAGTACTCATATGAAAAATAAATTTCCAGTTGTAATCTTCATATACTGGCCAAATCTCCAAGCACAGCACAATCTGTAGCATAGCATTTAGGTGCATAATTAGTATAAGACTCTGGCTCCACTGACTCTTTTCCACCTCACCTATTCCATCTCAATTCCTTTCCCCCTTCTGTCTTCCCTAAAGGCAGAGTATTATGCTCTGGAGGCATTTTATCGTACCCCTTGCCAGTAAATACTGGCCCCTCAGCTCTTTAAAAAATTCTTATCTAATATAGATTTAAAAATATACATGTGAAGATAGATAATAATTTTTTTAAAGAAAATTTTCTACTGGCAAAAAGTCACTAAGTTTGAAATTCTGTATTTACAGCCTGTTATGAATTGAATTGTGTCCCCTCAAAATATGTGTTGGAATCCTAACCCCTGTACCTGTGGATGTAATCCCATCTGGGAACAGGGTTTCCTTTGTTAACAAGGCCATATCAGTGCAGGGTGTGTCTTAAAACTAACCACTTTCCAGTTATTAAAAAAAAGCAGATTAGACATAGAGGAAGGGCAGACAAACGTGGGGGTGGGGGTGGGGGGAGTGTTTCAGAAGATAGATGTCAAGTGAAGATCGTCAAGGAACTGAGGAACAGCAGGGCTACAGAAGCTGAAAGAGATAAAGATTCCCCCAGAGTCAACACAGAGAAAGAGAGAGACCCTTCCCCTAGAGCAAGTGCCCTGAATTCAGACTTCTAGCCTCCAAAACTTAGAAAATTAATTTCTGTTTTTTAAAGCCACCCACTTGTGGTATTTCTGTTACAACAGCACTAAGACACAACCCATAAAGTGACAAATTCCAGTAGTACCAGCTACATTATTTGCAGAGCCTAGTGCCAAGTGAAAATGGATTATACTTTGTTCAAAAAGTATTAAGCATTTCAAGGTGATGGTGATAGCAGAGCAGTATAAACCAAGTGCCAGAAATCCTTGCCAGTCAACAAGGCAAGAAAGAGAAATAAAAAGAATACAGATTTGAAAAAAGAAATAAAAACTTCCCAATTCTCAGACAGCATGATCATCTACATTTAAAATCCCAAGGAGTCTAATATGTGAACTTAGCAAGGACACAAGGTAACAGATCAACACACAAAAATCAATTGTAAATACTTGCAATGAACAATTGGAAACAAATTAAAAACCAATGCCATTTATAATACCTGAAAAAAAAGTGAGAGATACTTTGGTATATATTTAACAAAACAGTCTGTGTGCTGAAAACTACAAAACACAGAATCAAATGAGACCTAAATAAATGGAGAGACATACTATGTTAATGGATTGGAAGACTCAACACAGTAAAGATGTCAATTCTTCCCAAACTGATTTATAAATTTAATGAAATTCCAATTAAAAACATCACAGCAGGATTTTTATGTATATCTGGACAAGCTGATTCTAAAATTTATATGGACAGGCAAAGAAATTAGAATAGCCAAAACAATTTTGAAAAAGAATAAAGTTGGAGGACTCACACTTCCTGATTTTAAGATTTACTTTATGGCTACAGAAACCAAGACAGTGTGATATTGGCAAAAGGATAGACAAATCAATGGAACAGAATAGAGAGTCCAGAAATAGAGCCACAGAAATATGGCCAGATGATGTGTGACAAAGTTACAAAGTCAATTCCGTGGAGAAATGATAGTCTTTTCAACAAAAGGTGTTGGAACAATTGGCCATTCATACTTTTTAAAAAAATGAACCTGTACTTAAACCTCACACCTTATACAAAAATTAACTTAAAATTGATCATAAATCAAAACATAAATCATGAAACTATAAACATTTTAGAAGAAAACATTGGAGAAAATCTTCATGATGTAGGTTTAGGCAAAAAGTTCTTTGACATGATACCAAAAGCACAACCCATTTTTAAAAGATTGATCAATTTGATTTCATCCAAATTTTGCTCTACATAAAAGCAAAAAATGCATAACAATATGTATGTATGGTAGAATTTTTGTAAAACAAACAAAACTCAATAAATATTTGTTGTTGCTTTGTGCCAACAACTCGATTGTGACACGTAGCTACCCTATAGGATAGAGTAGTACTGCCCCACAGGGTTTCCTAGACTGTAATCTTTTTTTTTTAATTTTTTTTATTGTACTTTAGATGTAGGTTTACAGAACAAACTAGTTTCTCATCAAGCCGTTAGTATACATATTGTTTTGTGTCATTGGTTGCCAACCCCACAACATGTCAACGCTCCCACCTTCTCGACCTTGAGTTCCACATTAGTTTCCTGTCCCTTCCTATCCCTTCCTGCCTTCTCGTCCTTGCCCCTGGGCTGGTGTGCCCGTTTAATCTCATTTTGTTTTATGGGCCTGTCTAATCTGTGGCTGAAGGGTGAACCTCAGGAGTGACTTCATTACTGAGCTAAAAGGGTGTCCAGTGGCCATACTTTAGGGGTTTTTCCAGTTTCTGTCATAAGTCTGGTCTTGTTTTATGAGTTAGAATTTTGTTCTACCTTTTTCTTTAACTCTGTCTGGGACCCTCTGTTGTTGGGATCCCTGTAGAGCAGTCAGTGGTGGTAGCCGGGCACCGTCCAGTTGTGCTAGACTCAGTCTGGTGAAGGCTGTGGTTGTTGTGGTCCATTAGTCCTTTGGACTAATCTTTCCCTTGTGTCTTTGGTTTTCTTCATTCTCCCTTGCTCCAGATGGGGTGAGACCAGTGGAGTACATTAGATGGCCACTCATGAGCTTTTAAGACCCCAGACACTACTTACCAAAGTAGAATGTAGAACTTTTTCTTTATAAACTATGTTATGCCAATTGAACTAGATGTTCCCTGAGATCATGGTCCCCACAGCCTTCAGCCTAGGCTGTAATCTTTATGGGAACAGATGGCAGGTCTTTTCTCCCAGAGAGCCGATAGTGGGTTTGAACCACAGACCCTTCGATTAGCGGCCAAGCACTTAAACATTGAGCAACCAGGGCTCCTTCCATAAATACTTACACAAATTTTTTAAAAGTGTAAAATTATCCTTAGGGAGCTGTAGCCAAGGAATAAGGTGTAGACTCACCTTGACTTTATACCCTTCTGCAGTGGTTGAATTTTTATGAGCATCTATTACTTTCATACAAGGTCCCAAACATCCCCACCGCTAACAGCTTTCAAAAGAGGTTGGGCAGCAGTCTGCCAGAAAACCTGTGGGGAAGTAAGGGCTCCTCCTAAGATTCTGTCCAACTCTAAGATCCTAGGAGTTTATGATTAGGCATAATGTAAGATAATTATAAGTCTCACAAGCAAGAAAGTGTTTGCCATTTGTTTTTAAACTTTCAGAATCACTGAAATAAACTTCTTAAAGCCCCACTGTCTCACAAATGCCTTCTAATGGATTCAAATCTTGACATATGCTACTTATCATCTGTCATGACTAGCTCGATATGCAAGTGACTAGAGCCTCAAGTGGTTCACCTTCTTTGGCACAACGAATTGGACCCAAGTCCAACTTCCTCTCATCTATTGGACTGCAATCCAGAGAGCATAGTCTTCAAAAGGAATCTGCTTTTTCATCCTTAGGAGCCTTAACTTGTACTCGTTTCACTTCTAAACAACATTAAGTCTCTAAATTAGTGGAGTACAAATGTGAAATAAACCAACTCAATTAACTATAAATAAACAAAAACCAAACCCACCGCCACTGAGTCGATTCCGACTCACAGCGGCCCTATAGGACAGAGTAGAACTGCCCCATAGGGTTTCCAAGGAGCACTTGGTGGATATGAACTGCTGACCTTTTGGTTAGCAGCTGTAGCTTTTAACCACTACGCCACCAGGGCAAATGAGGCATACCAAAAAAAATCAAACCCATTGCCGTCGAGTCAATTCCAACTCATGGCAATCCTGTGTTTTACAAAATAGAACTGCTCCATAGGGTTTTCTTGGCTCTAATCTTTATGGAAGCCGATCACTAAGACTTTCTTCCATGGCACTGCTGGGTGAGTGCCACCCAGGGACCTTACAAATAAGCTGTAGATGCTAATAATAAAATGTTAGACCAAGGAGCAGCGGTGGTGGATTTGTGAAGTTAATGAAACTTAAACTTCAGGGACCGTCACTTGCACAGGCCCCTAGTACAGCCCTTCCTAGGCCTGGCGGGGCCCTAGCAATGTGGTCACATTTTGTAGATTTGCAAAAGTAAGATATTTTAACGACAATCGGTAAAGCCACTGTCTCTCTCCATTTTAACTTTCCTGTATCACACTTCTCTTCTTGATAGGCAGTGCTGGAATAGTGTCAGTATTTTGGAGATTCTCTTAAGGAGTGATAGAGTTAGCTTTAGTTGGAGTTTAGTGGGATATATGTTTGTGGTTTGCAGCAAGTCTGTGTATTGGTAATTACTGGAACCATACTGGTGTAGGAATGGCTTTCAGGAATAATCCTACAGGGCACTGTGCTGATTCACTTGCCAAGGGGATATGAAGATGCAGGTCACAGGAGATGTCACACAATATGAATGTGTCCAACGGACCCTGACCCCAGATGTACTGGATAGTGTAGGGGCAACAAGGTTTGAAAGGTAACAGAATCAAAGGACGGTCTGTGGAAAATTCTTCCAAATCTTATACATGAAATAAACTAGATAGGAGTTTTCCTGAATTTGATAGCAATACCTGAAAATTTACAAGACATTATCAGTAACGAGTTGTGAAGCCGAAAGAAACCTCTCTAATTTATCAATAATAAAGAAATTAATTTTGATTAAGCATGCTAGAGGAAAAAACAGAATTATTTTTTCCATTCTCCGTATAGAAGACGATTTTAAAAAATGATTGTTATATGAAGAGGCAAAACTATGCAACCACAAAATATAGGGGGAAAGTATTCTAGAGTTGTGCCTAGCAGCTAGTTAAACTATTGCTGTGTTTCTCGATTTTGTGATATTTTTGGTATTTGTCAGTTTTTAAGCTTTGTAATTTTCTATGATTTTTTTTCTCATTCTAACTAAAATATTCACTTTCAGACCTAATTTTGTATTTGTAATTTTGTATTCTTTTACATAAAGAGGGCTGTCCAAAATGTACAAGTTTCAGGCCCCACAAAACTGGGATCCATCCCTGCATAGGAGCTTATAAATATTTAGAAGGAGGAAACTGCTTTTCCTTTTGGTTAAGGATTCTGAATAACACAGTCAAATGGGATTATCTGGCTTCATCTAGAATCTGACCTCTGTAATGGAATTGGTAGCTCTGGGGTGTCAGGACTGAGAACAGTGAGAGGCACAGAGATTTATCACCAAGCCTCTGCAGGAAGGAAACCTGGGTAGAATTTGGCACCTAGCATGAATTTCTGTTCCAGGATAGAAATCTTCTGCAAAGAACTTAACACAGGGTCTACCTTAATTGACCTGCTGGAGCTTTAATCTGATTTAAAAAGAGGAAAGTCTGTGAGGCTTTTCAGAGAAGTGTGAGCCAGTGGATTTGGAATATCTAGGTTTGATTCACTTAGGTTTGGTGTCCCCAATATAAAGGAAAAGTTAAGATAAGGTTGACATAGAGGATGATGATGACAGCACTCTTCTATCTCACTATCCCTTCCTATCCTCAGTCAGGGACCAAATACTGAACGGGACTGATGGATTTTATGGGAGCTTCTACTGAAAATGGGGCCAGGGACCCCTGACAATCTTATAACAGCTTATCCTTCTCAGAAGAGCAGATGGGGTTGATCCTATGGGATCATCATTCTTAAGCAAGTTATGGCCAAGGTCGCTGGCTTTCTAGAAAGGAGTTTTCATGCATATATCTCTGATTAATCCATTTATTAAGGATCCTGTTTGCTTGCTGTTCATAGTATGTATGTCCCTATTGAAAGATCAGCTTTCCCTTTTATATCCTAAATAAGATGAAAGAAAAATTGTAATGCTATTTCACCATGGGCCCACAGTTTGGCTCCAGGGGAAGTGACCAAGTGTCAGAATACTTGTCTGTCTGCTGGACTGGCCACCCAGTGGTCCCCATGGGAGGGGTGACAGGGTGCAGGAAAACCCTCTGTCCTCTCAGACTGCCCCGTGCCTGAAAGAGTCTGGGACTCAGTACAATTCACACCACTAAAGACCTGTCCCTTCAAGTTGGAATCCATGTGGGCAATAACGATATTATTTAGCACCATGTTTGAGAGGGAATAAAAGATGCATAAGAGCTTTAAATAGCCACTGGTGCTTCATGCCATGAAATTTCTCTTTCATTGTGTTCAAAAGCATCCGAGAATGGAGCAGCCCAGAGAAGTTCCTCATTCCAGATTTTGGCAGTTCTGACAACAACGGGGCACTTGGTAATTGGGTCTGAATTACCAAGTAATTCTTTTATTTGGCTGTCCAAGGTTCTCTGGGATTGAGTGATACAGGCCGTAATTCAGTCTAATGATGCATTCGCATTCTACCAGAGAAAATGACTGTGAGGTTACGGCTGCAGGTGGGGGCAGAAACAATGACCGGTTTGACCTCAGCTTGTTTAATCCAAGGCACTACCCAAGAACAGAAGTGTTTCTGGTGTGAATTCTGTGAAATTCTTTCTTTCTTTTTTTTCTTTATCATTTCTGCGTAGAATGAACTTGAAGAATCAAGCAATACGCTATTGCTCTGCACACACACAGATACACACGTGGAGGCAGTTTAGCAAAGCCAAGAAAAACCAAAAAAAAAAATCAAACCCGTTGTCGTCAAGTCGATTCTGACTAATAGTGACCCTATTGGACAGAGTAGAACTGCCTCCTAGGGTTTCCAAGGAGCGGCTGGTGGATTCAAACTGCTGAACTTTTGGTTAGCAGCCTGAGCTTTTAACCACTGTGCCACCAGGGCTCCATTAGCAAAGCCAACAGTCGCATTTAAATGGGGCAATATTCTTGATGCTGGTTTGGGGATCCCCGAGTGTGTGGATTTAGAAGGAAGCTGAATTTCAGGGAAAGGAGGTGCACCCCTCCCACCAAAATTCATTATTAAGGAATCAAATAGAAGGCAAATCAAGAGTTGAGGATTTTACTTGATGTCCATTGCCTTCTGATTCAATGTTGTTGTTGTTAGGTGCTGTTGAGTCAATTTTTGACTCACAGTGACCCCATGTGACAGAGTAGAACTGCCCCATAGGGTTTTCTAGATTATAATCTTTACAGGAGCAGATGGACAGGTCTTTCTCCCATGGAGCCGCTGGGTGGATTCGAACTGCCGTTAGCAGCTGACCACTTAGCCGTTGGGCCACCAGGTCTCCTGATTCAACAGAGATCCTAAGGTAACAGGCTGAAATGCTTTTCAGAGGAAAATTTTTTTTAGTTTTAGTTATTCTGCCCCAGGGTACACCGCCCCCCTCATCTTGCCTGAACCCAGTGCTCCCTGTCTTCTAATTAGACCATGATTTGCGCTGTCTTCATTTTGTGATCAGCATATATTGTGATTTCTGTCAAGAGGCGTCAGGTCCCTCTTTTCTATACCCCTGGTAAAGGTATCTTTCCTTTTGTCCTCCCAAAAAGAGGTACCAAAGCTGACAGTCTGTGGGTTCCCCCATTGGCTTGTTGGTTCTCTCCTCTTGAATGATAGCTGTTGTTGTGGGACTTGGTGCCTGGCCAGGCCTAGGGAGGGACACCCACCACCTCTGCTCTCATCTTACTCCACCTTTTTCCATGTCAGTCCTGATCTGCTCCTCGAGGTCCTCTGGGGACACATAGAAGTCGTCTTCCGGCATCGATGTCTTGGGTTGGCACCGACCACAGCAGCAGTTACAACAGCAGCACAGGCAACAGCAAAAATAGCAGCCTGTCAGGAGGCCGATGATGACAAACAGGGTCTGCGGGAAACAGAGGTGAAGCAAAACGGCGTCAGGGACCGGGGTCGAGGAGAACTCTAGAAATCGAGTCAGCTGCCAAGTACCCCCAGAGAGTGCAGACATCCACGGTTCCCCCTCAGATCACATCGTCGCCTCATCTTTACTCCATGTAAGGAGCTAACCTTTTAGTTTCTTTGGAAACAAGTGCCTCATAAAGTTTTGCCTAGCAAGTTAAACTCAGAGGAAATGAATGGAGACCAAAGTGATGAAGTACAACATTTTCTTCTGTATTCTTAAGCTACTGTGATCATTCTTAAGAACAGAGCAAAGCAAAACAAAAAACCTCAGCAGATCAAATGAGCTAGGCAAGCCTCCCTGCCAAGGGAGCTGAGTCATTCCCACCACAGAAGAGCACTATGTCACCTCCCCCTGCCATTGCTGTGTTCCTCTTAGTCACCAAGTCCTGCAGAGTGTCTCTCCTCAACATCTCTTGCATCTTTCCCCTCCTCTCTACCCTGGCCAATAGGGCTTTAGAACAGATCCTCACTGTCTCTGATGGAGACACTTCAGGAGCCTCCTACCTGGCCTGTCCCCCTCTAATTCACCCTGCACATTGCCACTGGAGTGAGCTTTCTGAAGCACATCTCCTGCTTAAACTATGCGGTGGCTCTCCTGGTTTCTAAGGTCAGACCCTAGCGCCTATCACAACACCAGGCCTTGGTGATTTAGCCTCCCTCACACACAACCTTTTCCCACACCAACTTGGTTTTCCTGTGGCTTCATCTGCATAAACGACCCCCTCCCATTCCCCTAACAAATACTTAAAAACAAAACAACAACAAAATAGTTGCTGGCAAGTCGACTCAGATTCATGGCGACCCCGTGGGTGTGAGAGTAGAACTGTGCTCCACAGGGTTTACAGTGACCGACTTTTCAGAAGTGATCCTCAGGCCTTTCTTGCGAGGACTTTTGGTTAGCAGCTAAGCAAGTTAACTTCGCACCATCCAGAGACTCCAGCAAATACCTACTCAGTGTTTTTAAAACTCATCTCAAAGTTCCCTTCTATGATGTCTTTCCTGAGCACCCCACATTGACCTCCTAAAAAAACAATTACTCCCCGCTTAGTGCCTTGATGGTATGCCACACAAACTTTTGCATGCGCCTTTTTTGCTAATACTTGTCTAGAGATCTGTCTCATTATATTAGACTGTGAGCCGACATGTTGTTGTTGCTAGGCACCATCCAGTCGATTTCAACTCATAGTGATCCCATGTGACAGAGTAGAATTGCCTCCTAGGGCTTTCAAGGCTGTAATCTTCAGAGATGCAAAAGCAGACTGCCACATCTCTCCCCCCACCCCCC